GGAGAAAAATGGTGATAGAATTTCATATTGAAATTTTTATATTTAATAAAGCAGCTTATAAGCTTTTGAATAAACCTAAATTTATTTATTTATTTTTCATAATTGTTAAAGTATGCAGTTTTTTGTCACTGCCATTTTTTTCTTAACACACTGTATTTGGTTTCAAATGTTGTGTATGTAGTATGGTGCAAGTCACTTAGTCACTGAACTTTTTGTGCCATGATGCCAATTTTGAGAAAAAATATTCCAATCAAAAATGCAATAAAAAATTTATTGCCACATGATTTTGAAGATTGTCAAGTGCTTAAGGTTCTGAATGAATTGAATTGAGTTGAATTTTGGAGTGATTTGATTCAATTCGAATTTTTCAAATCAAATCAAATCATGACTCAAATTCAAAAAAACTGTATTCAATTTGATTCAATTTGTTCTAAATGAAATTTGATTTGATTCGAAATCAATTCAAACTTCTATTTAATATATTGTATCATTTGATATTATAACAAGATCTTAACTGATTATATGTGCAGTGAGTTATATATAGGATATCATGTGTACATCAAATGTGGCCAAATTTTAATTTTTTACATAAAGAATTTTTTTTTAATTAAATGAACTTTAATTATGGTGGAAAGTAAGTTATTTTTTATTATTTAACAATAAAACAAATGATTACATTGATGAAATTATGTGACTTGTTTTTGTAGCTGCATGAGCTTCAATATCCTCATCTGGCCAAAATAGCAAGAGATTACCTTGCTATTCCTGCATCTAGTGTTCCAATGGAAAGAATCTTCTCTGGCAGTGTTGATTTGATCACATCAACTAGATGTAAATTGTTTGCAAATACAATTAGATACTGTATGTGTCTTAAATCATGGTGGAAAGGTGTTTTAAAAGATGTATAATATAATAGGAATTTGTTAAATAAAAATTAATAATTTATTTACCATCATCTTCTGTTATTTGTTTGGCTTGATTGATAAATTCTAATTCCAATGGCTCAACTGTTTCATTTGGATAACGCCGATGATAATCTTTGGTTGATTTCAACCTCGCATAAAATTCGCTAAATTCTGAAGTTCCTGACAAAGCGTCTATTTCAGATTTACGTGCTCTTTTTAAGATCGATTAAAAGTTGTAATAAATTTTTATTCTTATATTAATTAACAAAAACTTTTAAATAATTGAAAATTTACCCATCAGTATCATCATATAATTCATATAAAAATTTACTTCTTAAACTTATTCTATCCAAAAAATCATTAACTCTATGTTCTCGTACTAGCCGATCTTTGTGCTAATAATAATAATTATTATTAAAAAGATAAAAACTATTTTTTAACTATAGAAAAACAAAAGATGCAAACCAACCGATTTTGGATCTTTCATAAACTGATCAACAATTGCTTGTTCCAGGCGTTCAATTTCTTCGTGCGCTTTTCTTTGTTGTTCTAGTATACTTTCCATTTTTTACTTTCCAAATTTTATAATAATGATAATGTTTGATTTTATATTCATTCATTGGATATTATTGCAACTTGAGTTTGTGTAACGTCTATTATATTTAAAAATTTTTTTTTGCTAGATAAATATTTAATCCATAATTTTATAACCTAAATTGAATAGAAATAAAAAAGATGAAGGATATTTATAAGGACGAAGAGCTTGATATACCTGAAGAGGTAGAAGAAATTAGTGTAAAAGCACGAGTGGTTACTGTTAAAGACGGCTTGGCAAATTAACGAAAAGTTTTCAACATATCAATTTGGAAATACAACATCTTAAGAAAGCCAAAAAGATTAAACTTATTGTTTGGCATGGGACTCGTAGGCAAGTTACCTGTTTACGTACAGTCAAAACGCATATTAAAAATATGATAATTGGGGTCACAAAAGGATTTGAATATAAGATGCGCTATGTTTATGCACATTTTCCAATCAATGTCCATATTGATGGAAGTGATGTTGAAATTCGCAACTTTATAGGTGAAAAAGTGATCAGGCGAGTTAAAATGTTGGAAAGTGTTACGATTGAAGTTTCAAAAGATATAAAAGATGAGTTGGTTCTAACTGGTAATGATTTAGAAAATGTCTCACAATCAGGTAAATAATTAAAAATGTATCTATTAATAATTGTCGATTCTTTTTATTAATGTGCATAATGACATCTTGAAATATTAATGATTATTTGAAAAGCTGCCGATATTCAACATTCAACCACTGTTAAAAATAAAGACATTAGAAAATTTTTGGATGGTGTTTATGTTAGTGAGCGTAATATATTAGAAGAACCTCAAAATTAATTATAAAATAATGCAATACGCTTGATGTCACATGATTACTAAATGCTCATTTTTTCGTCAAACTCTTTGCTGTTCCACGGACAGCTACCATTTTAATTCAGAACGCGAATTAACACGTCCTTTTACTTTTTCATCTTTTCCCTACTTTTAAGTATTTTTTTTTTTTTTTGATAAAGATAAAATAAATATCAAACATACAAATATTTGTTGTATGTAAATATGCCACAGCAAATTAAGAATTCCAAAAAGTTTGTTTCTCCGGTTAAAAGTACCCAAACTTCTCTTTGGTCCTTTATTAAAAAGGAACCACCTTCTCCAACTACTGATTCTGAGGCTCAAGATTATAAAAATAATAAACTATCAGACGACACAAGACTGTCTGATGACCCCGTGACTCCAAAGTCAATAAAATCAAGGGTAGGCAACAAAGACGCAGAAATTTTTATGCAAGAAGTTGAAGAGAAAGAAAGTGGTAGCGGTGAGCTGGTAGGCTTAGAAATTGACACGCCTGTATTAGGAAATAGAATTTTGAGGGTTGTTATATCATTATTATTACTATTGTTTTTTAGATAATACACAAGTTTATTACGATAGATAAAATAATTTGTATTGAAATAAATTTTATTTATGTTTTTT